ACTTTCATATGCAAAATATAATTTTCTTTATTAAGTCTTAAAGTTTATAAAGCAATATTTTTCTCGTGTCTTTTTTTTTTCTTTTTGCATGTTGCCTATCCAACATGCAAAGTAATTTTCATTTTAAGATTAAAAATAATTTTATGCATTGGAAAATTTTCAAATTCCACATGCAAAATATTTACAATGTCTAGATAGTTATCAAATGTTTGTTGAGAAAAAACTTTTTATTTTATCTGTTATTTTCAGTAATGAATCTCTGTGCAGGTTTGGTAGATTTGACTGATCTCATAACCACCAACAAAATTAGAAAATAAATATATATTATACCTCTTTCATTCTAGAATGACAACAAATTATAACACAAAAACATAAATATTTAGACTAAATAGCTTAAATCTCATAACATCATACATTTATATATATATATATATATTATATTGACCTTTCAGCCGTGCCTGGCTAACAATACAGAAGTTACAATGATGCGCCACATGTGCTCTCATGTTACTGTATCCAATAATATAAAACTGATTATTGCTATTTAGAAATAAGTTCTTAAACTTATTTTTCTTAAAACTAGAAGAGATAATTGTTTGCTTTACTTCTTTATTTACTGTTCTATTTCCACCTGTCTGTAAAGTGTAAATCTGAATCTCACACGTATAGTTAAAATGTTCAATGTTGGACCCTTCCCTTGAAAGAATCATTATTGTGTTATGCAGTGACACCTTCCCAGTCTAGAAACAGTTAAGCCAAATCTTACTTTATTATTGCATCCCTTTCCTATATTTATGCATCCTGTAAATACGGATTTGAATACAGGACACAAATATTTGTATTAATGTTACCACTACTACAATATATCCTTTAACCCATTCCAGACAGCACATGGGTGAAAGGCCGTGTCATCACATTCGTTGACTCGCATTCAAAATCATATTGAACTACCATTTCAGGAATATATGTCAATAAATTTAGTATGAGACTGTAAACTATAATTCAAATTTTGATATTATACATTACTCAATTTCTTAAATTAAAAGTAAATATTAAAAGAACATAGGTAAATATTCATTTTTGTGTGTCACATGGTATGTTGATTGCAGCAGTGGTTCAAATTAGATGTTTGTGATGTCAAAATACTAAGTCTATAGTTTCATTCAAATTAGGAACTCAAATTACTGATATTAACAAGCTAGAATATATAATAAGTACCTCTTATCTTTTCTATTTGCTAAGATATTGTTCATGTAATAAATCAAACACAGTCACACCTCACCCACCTCTTTCCAATTTTGGAAACACTCCCTCATATACACTTATTTTTATATATGACATGAATAACCAATTGAAAGCTCAAAATTTCCCCGTAGTGGCTTTCTTAGTACACCATCTCTTTCTTTCAAACCAATATTTCAAGGAGATAATCTGCTTGAAATTTCATATTTTTTTTAGACTAAAATTATAATGGAATTCTATAGTATTGATATAGTAACTTATGATTTTTTGTTTAATTAAAATGTATATATAAAACCTAAAAAAAATTATTTCATTTCATATCCTACCTATGTGAAATTTTAAAAGGCTATCAACCTACGTCAAGCAGCAACCAGGTACAAAGGTTGTAACGTTAAAAACAAAAATACTCATTTATTGTTTAGGTTTATTTACAAATATTATTTTTGGGTCTCATATATTACTTGAAACCATAAGGAGAGTACGTGATTATTAAAAAATTAAAAAATAGATAAAATTTGCATTTTATAAACGATACAAATTTTTTAGGATTGCAAAATAATGTACTAAAACATAAAAAGTAATCAGTTCAAATCTGGAACAAATATAAGTATTGTAATCATTTCTTATAAATACCATTTCCTAATGTAATTTTCCAAGATATTAAAGATCATAATGCAAAAAAAACTAAATTTATCACAAGTAACAGGCTTTATGTTTCTTAAACTATGTACATTTATGAAAGTTCTTGAGAAGTTTCAAAACTTTTTAACCAATAGTTTTATTGTTGGAATGACATATAGCAAGACTTGCATTGGCTACTAAGAAAGTTAGTAGCCAGTAGTCATTGGGTTAAGGAATCATATATTGAATAATCACTCTCTGTGAAAAGTTAAGAAAATTGAACTTATGGGAACCACATGTTTTTTCTCTTATTTTAATAACTTCTAAGTAAGAAAAAACTTATGTGGTTCCCATAAGTGAGGTATATTTGATAAAAAAAGAAATGATTTTCAACTTCAAAAAAAATTAATATTAATATAATAATATTTCAACTTGCATCTTTGTCACAGTACAGTGTAATACAAAAATTGAGAGCAATTGATATAAAATTAGGCTTATTTCAGAGTTGTATTTGAAAGAATTGCATCAAGTAACCTAGTAACATCATGTATTGGGCAACACTCGAATAGCACTGTTGTTTAAATGGCAAATATACAAATTCTTAAGCTATATTATTAGGTTACAAGGATAAAAAAAAAACAACTGTTAAATATATATGATAATAAGTTGGTATGTATTAAACAGTATGTGTGAAAATAACTTAAATATATATACAAATGTTGGTGTGTGAAAATAAAGTATCTAGGTACATCATGTCAATATATAACACTGTATCCTGACAAAGAAGCAAGTTGAAATATTGCTATATTAAACTATTACTATTTGTTTTTTTCTGCGAGTTGAAAGTCATTTTTTATTTATAAGATATGTCAAAGGATTTACTTTAGTTAGCAATTCACACATTAAAACCTTCCTTAAGTATTTTCAATGTACTAATTTATACTCATGTAACATTTTCCAGTGGTCCTACTTTTACAAAAAAAAAGTGTAAAACAATAACAAAATCCTGTAAAAAACAATTAGATAATATTTCAATAAATATTTACTTCAAATTATCAGGAAATAATGAAAACTGCATTACATTTTAAAATCACAGTTTTAAACTAATATTCCAGGCAACTGTTAAAAAAAAAATCCTTACAAATATTATAATAAAGTTTTAATTCTTGATAAACAGCTTGAAATAACTGCAGAATAAAGAAAATGTTCACAACAATTCAATAATTATAAAATTATTTAAAGAGTTATAGAATTATTTAAAGTACAAATTAGAAGAAAAGAAAAAGCTTTTCTCAGTCAAGTTTGACATTTTAATAAATGCGTATTATCTAAGGTTTTATTGTTACCTTATTAATCTGTCTTTGCTGTGCTGACATGCGCTTCACTTTTTTTTTTCAAGAGCTTCTTCTTTCCTTTTTGTATATTCTGAGGACATTCCTCCAAATGGATTGTGTGTCTCATCATAACCTTCATCAATGGAATACCATTCTCGATCCAAACGTTTTTGTTCTTCCTCCCAAGCAAAACGATCCTCCTCTGAGGCCCATGGCATGTTTGTTTTGCCAGCATCTATATAAAATTTACAGTTTTACATATATTAACGGACATCAAATGATGCTAGATTTAGTCATATTGTAGCAACCAAGAAGAAATATTATTTGAAGTATTGACACTACTTTTTAGTTTTTTATTACCATAAAACTCAAAATTAATATTAAGAATCTACAATATAAAATTTGACCACTCTTCATATCATATAAACATATATTTTTAACAAGAACAACCAAATACTGAAATATTAAATTTGTACAACTCTAACAACTGGGAAGACCCATGTGCAAAGTTCACAACTTGGATGTTACCCATAATTTACTAACTTCATATAATGATAATACAGTATATACAGGCTGTAATTACAGTCTTTACACTGGAAAACTTTAATTAGATGTTCATAGCTCGCAAGAAAATTCTAAGTTTCTAATATTTACTTCATTATTTTCATTATTGTTCACATCAATAACTAAAATTGTTTGAATTCTCTTTTTACTCATCATCTGCATCAAATTCATTTTTAAATTCTGGTTAAAATCACATTTTTTAGAAAAAGGTTTCAAACTTTTTCTTTATCACAAAAATAATACCATAGGTATTGATAGGATGAGTTGAAACTAACAGCTTAACACAAAAAATACTAAGTTCTCAGAAAATTAATCTCCTTTCTGAAAGTCAATAATCTCAAAATCTAATGAAAATATCCAGTATAAAAATAATTTTAACAAGTTCTATACAAACAGAAAGAAAAATATAAACTGGCAAGAGCAGTTCTAAACTCCTGGTAAATAGATTGCTTGGGTATAAAAATTTGTTGTGAAATATATACACGACTCTTGTTAGCAGTATTTTTGAGCTTCTTTTTATTTCACTTTTGATTATAGTTAGATAAAAACTATGAAAAGAGCTAGAAAATTGACTCAATTACTTCTAAGCATTGATTAGTTTCACATATAAAATCAGTTAACCAATATTACATTAAAATCAATTAATAAAAACTAGTGTTTTCAATTATTACTATTTTTAATTATTCTTACTCTTAAAGTAATTGAAATATTGCTATTATGACCTATCTATTATTTTCAATTAATTCAAGTTTGTTCAACTTAATTACTTAGTGTTGTGACTCATAAAAGTAAAATAATCAAAATTAGTGTTTCTGATTATTACATTTTATTATTCCAACCGTTCAAGTAACTGAAATATTGCCATGATTTCTCCTTAAAATTTCCTGATTAATTTTATGTTTATTCAACTTCGAGCCAAAATGGCCTAGCAATTACTGTGGTTATCTCGTAATTCAAAGATCATGAGTTTGACTCACTTGCTACTAATCAAGCTTACCCTTTCAACTGTGGGGTTGATATGTTTGTTTCTTTGTTTTTGAGTTATGGTAAAACTACTACAGCTAGCTGATAATGTCCTTAATTTGTAACTGCCAACAAGTGAGAAGGCAGTTGGCAGGCAGCACCAATTCTTGGACTATTCTCATTACCAACAAATAGTGGGATTGACCATATAATAGCACTTCTCTAGGCAAAAGGGCAAACATGTTTGGTGGCACCAGTTATCACATCTATGGCCCTCAATTCATGAGGAAACCACCGGGAAATGCAGGACCAATCCTATTTGCTGGTAAATAATAGCCCAACAGTTGGCAGCGAGTGCCGTTGACCAGATGTCTTCTCTGTTGTCGGTAGCTCAAAAGAAGGGATGGTAGCAGATAACCTTTCTAGCTACGCAATAATTCAAACAAACTTGTTCATCTTCAGATACACATACCAAACGAATTTGCACACACAAAAAAAAACAACTATTACTACTTCAGTTGGTGAAACTATGCACAACAGAATGCATGCATTTTGTTTGGGTCAAGTGGTTGTTGATTATATAGCTATAACTAGCTACTGTGATGCCTATTGTTTATGTTTACCTTATTTGAACTAAACAATGGTGTAGAGTTAACTTAACATATTGCTTACATATTTCAAACTACAAATCCAATGTTACTTATGGTAATAAAAAAAAGGTTATTCAATATTCTTTATTTGGTCAAAAGGATGATTCCTAAATACCTTGCTTATTTGATTGTGTTCACCAGAAATTATTAGACATTGAGTAATAACAGTCTAAAATTTTTTAACAGCACTAAGTTTTTACATAGTTAAGTGAACTGGACTCCTTTCAATTATGACCAGATGGGAAGCACTGAAAAGAGGAAAACAAAAGTCTGGCTTTTGTCACAAAACACTTAAACCCTGCCTAATACATTAAGCTTTAAGTTCTTTGAATTACTGATTTCTCAGCACACTCATGTTTCTACAGTTTTTTCCAGACTGTACCTTAAATGTAAATGTACTATTCACCTTAATGTGTTCTTTGTTTTTCATAAGATCCAAGTGAATTTGTTTCCACTGAATTACATATTATCTATTATATACTCTGACAAGAATTTTTTACAAATTTTATTACATGAAATCTAATGATAAATCTAATCACAAAGAATAAGTTTCCTTAGTTTAGTACAGTAGTCATCAAAAATTTGTATGGAGAAACTTGTATTTTTGGCTTGTTACAGGTTTTGAACCACATTGTGAATATAATATATTTTTTATATACAACAGCTTAAGATTAAAAATCAAATTTAATCCTAAATTATTGTACCTTAAGATGTCTATCACATTAAATGAAGGGTAGCTTGAAAATGTCTAAAAAAAATTCCAAACAATTTGAAAATAGGAAGATTAGTCTCATGAGAGAATAGTCAATTAATTGACTGTAATCAATTAATGAACCCGATGATTAATTTATTAGGAAGTTCCACTAATCACTCAGCTTCTTTAATCATGAAAAGTATTTGTTGAATATATGTTTATACTTCAGTTTTCATTAAATAATGAAAATACATTTCCAAATATTAACTATATTTTAAAACACATTTTTTAAATTTTGAATGGAAAAATCAGCCTGTAGCTTTATGCTCATTTTGAGATTGATTTACTTCAATCCATTTTCTCTACTGTTACAGTTACAAAAAAAAACCCTTTCCTTTCTAGCTATATATAATATTAGCTGTAGGGTGAGCATCACTATCAAGGGACCATCAACATATTACATTATGTATACTAGTACATCATTGTTTTTAAGAAAAAGAAGTGTCCACACAAGTATCCCAAAACATAGCCATAATTGTTTTAAACTTAACTTTAACTACAGCAGAGCCAAATATTAAGTTATTAGTTATGAAATATTTGAAAATTAATAACAGCAATAACCAGGATTTGTTCTCACTTATAAAGCTTGTTATTTGGTTAAATGGCAAGACATTTCATTACCTAGTTTCAAATGTATTTTATAAAGATGAAAATCATTTGGTATTTTATTACTGAAGTTTTTCACATTAATTAGTAATTTTTAACTGGAATTTTGTTTGAAGAATTAACTGTTAAGCTGCAAAAATACAGAATGCTTACAGAATTGTTAGCCAATAAAAATAAAAAATTGAACAGCAGTGTCATTAAAATAAGTCACAAGATTTAAACTTTTTACCATAATGTGGTTAAAATTCTAGTAGCAAGATAAATACTACAGAAATGATTTTTAAGTCACAAATGTCTAATATTATATTATTTCTATACCTTACAATAACATACAAGTGAAAACAAAAAAAAAAATTAAAACTGCTCTTAAATATTTTAAAAAACTACCAGTATCCTAACATGATATCTGTGATTTCAATAAGCTAAAATATTATTTCAGACAAACTGCAAACATCATAATATTACTGTTCAGATAAAAATGGAGAAAGGTGTTGATTACTTTGTTATATAATAGTCATCACCTTGGTTAAGTAAAACATGGTAAAAATGATACGTACTTATGAATGGTTCCTTCTGAAGCACTTCAATGATTAGGATTCACTCTTAAGAAAAACCAACAAACTACTAACTTTTAGTTAAGTCAAGTCAGATGGTAGAGTTACTAGAATCCATAAAGATGCATCTAATACAAAACTACATTACAGTAATTAAGATGAACTACATATTACACAAAATTCTATTTTAATAAAAATCCAATTAATATAACAACTGCACATTTACAGAATACTTTTGAAGATTAAAATTTGGTGATATAGGAAGTTGGTGTCCTAGTGTTGATTCTAACTAAAACTAGGCACTGGACAATAAGTAGAATTTGGTAATTGATTACTCTCGCATTAGACTTGGGTACTTGGATTAATTAAAAATAATAGTAATGGGAAACATTAATTTTGAGAAGTTGATTATTTTCATAACTCATGACACTACTTGATGAAACTGAAAAACCTTGAACAAATTGAAAATGAAGTCATAACTGCAATATTTTGATCACTTGAATAATTGGAGAAATCAGAACTAACTTTGATTAGGTTAACATTTTCCTAACATTAATCAATTTAATCTTAATTGTTATTAATCAGTTATTTTATAAGACTAACTGATATTCATAGATATTAGATTATATCGATTAAGTAAGTTAATTGCTCAACTCTCCTTAAAACACAATCCTCATACAGGATTGTTTTCTCTGACAGTTAAGAAAATTGTTTTCAACCTGTTGTATACTCTGATAGCCCTATATATTTCACTCTGATGTATAATTAAGACTGTGTATATTGAAACAGATGAAATATACAAAAAAAGGTCTATTTCTAGATTCCTTAGATTAAGCAGAAGTGGGCATTACATTTTTAATGTAATTAAACAAACCAGTTATGATATAATAAATTTATTTTAACTGCTGTTCAGTAGGTAAATAAGATCCTTAATTTTATAAAACTGAAAACTCTTCAAGCATACCTTCTAAAGTCCTCGGTGTTGCTCCAGTTTTTTTACGATCAGCAGCCCAAGCATTGTACTTGTAGGCTGGGGTGGGTAGAGGTGTATCACTGTGGTATTTCTTGTTTCTAATGTGCAAAATATGATGAATAAAGCAAAGCATACAAAGTATTAAATAAACACAGTAAAACTTTTCAGTGATTTCCATTAAACAGACTTTTGGATAACTTTGAACATTGAACACAAAACTATGTTTCATAAAAAAAACAGTAATCTACATGAATTCCAAAAAAATTTTCATAAAAAATGTTAAAATCACAACTGTAACAATTTTGTGACCTTTTTTATCATATGAGAATCTGTAAAAACAACAAGTTCTAAATGCAGAAAAAAAATCTAATGTAAAATACTGTGGAAAATACAAACATTTTTGTTTCGCAATACATGAAGTTAAAGTTTTTTTACTTCCCTATTTTTATAGTTTTGTTTCTTTCTAGAAAATCAAGTATTGTTGCACAACTTTACAAAAAGTGAAGTTCTTGTAAATCGATTTACATTCAGCAAAAAAGACAATACAACCAAATCTGAGACATTTAGTCAAGGAGTGAATGTATTACCAGCAAAAGAAAAGTATAAACAGAAGAATACCATCTCAAGTAAATTTTAGTTTGAAGTGAGTGGTTATTTCTTACTACTTGTAACATTCTCCTACATCTGTTGGGCTGTTCGTATGTCTTTTTTTTAATTTTAAATCATCACAAGTAAGACTGGTTACCCCAGACCCTATGTATGACTAAGAAAAGTAAGCATGTTGATAAGAACAACACACACTTTACAAAACCACTTCACGGTCAATGTACACCAAGGAAAAGGCTGTAATAAGTAAAGAAGTCCCACAACAAATTTATAAAGGTAATTAAACAACCAATATGTTAAGAGAGAATAATAGCTCACGGATTTTATTTCACTTCTTGGCCTGCCATGTCTTTTGTAACCTACGTATGCCCTAACTCTTACTAAGTATTATCCATGCTGAAACATACTAAGTCACATTGACAAATTTATTTCAAAAACATAAAAAGTCTAGTGAATTTTAAAATTGAAAACAGAAGTGAGAGCAAAATAACCTTTCCATAAGAGAACAAAGGAAACAGCACACAGTCACAATATACAAAGTTGATACTGAACAACCTCTATAAAAATTAACAAGTCACAATATACCAATGTCACACTAAACAGTCTATAAGATAACTATGTGACAATATACAAAGAACATCCAATATAAATTTTATCAAGATAAATGTGTTACAATATATAAAGATCCTACTAAAGAATTTCTATCAAGATGAATGTGTCACAATATATACAATGATCACACTGAACACATTCTGTAAGTATGACTATGTATGGTAAAAATAGATACAAGCTAGTTTTTCAGAAGTATAAAACCATCAAAGTAATACAAGTACAGCAATAGACAATTAAAACTGGTAAGAGTGGCCACAGAAGTAATGTCTATTTTAAAAGTTTTCCACTGAAATGCAATGGATATTCCAAATACAAATCTGTTGAGTCATGGGAATGTTTAACATTGTCAACAAAAACAACAACTGTTGATGATGTCCCCTTTTAAGCAAGTTTGTTTTACACCATATAACAACAGCTTATATGTACTAAACAAAACACTAAGTGCATCTACCATCTAAATCCACTGTACTAGGAAAATAAGACTGGTAGCAATAAAGCTGTCCTTTTTTCATCAGCACTGAAACATTGAAAATGAAACTTTTGTCTGGATAGAAGAATATTCCATGTGAACAATGAAAAAGCTGTGATCTGTTATGTATGAGAGCAGACTAAAAAGAAGTATGTAATAGCTCAAATATAAGTTTGCATAAAGTCTGTAGTTTGATAGTTGCCTTCTGATTCAGAAATCATCATGGTAGAGGAAATTAACTAAATTAACAAGATTGATAAGTTATGAAAACAAAATTAAAGGTTTATACACATTAACAAAAAAAAAAAATAGCCAAAAATCCACTAATAGAGATGAATAAATGTACAGAAAAAGTTAGCAAAAACATTGCAATGCTATAATCCAACAGAAATAAAGGGGTAAAAATGACATTCATTTGAAAATGCTTCAACTTAATCTGATAGGTTACATATTGAAAAAGAGTTAACAACGTACTACTTTGTTAATTTATATACATTTCCATATTCTACAAATGTATACTTGTTTATGAATTTTACTCCATCATGTAAAAATTATTTCACCCCATACAAGTCATTCAAAAACAACAACTTCACAACTGCCACTCATCTCTTATCATTTAACAACAAGCTGCCCCAAACCAAAGGAAAAACTCAAATACAAATCAAGTTACTCAGCAAGATATTCAACAAATGCATGACTCAGCTACCTGACAGAAAATACCATGTCAGCCAGCCAGATAACCCAGACCCATCCTTATAAAAGGAGAAAAGCTACCCAGACCCAACTGCCTCCTGAGTCCACTAATGACAACATTCTACCAGTAAACTCCCTCCAATGATTCTGTCCTTTCTTCAAGAGCCTTTCTGCGACCACCTTTCATCCAACTCGCCAACTGTTGTGTTAGTTTATTACCATGCCTATTACTCCTTCCTTCTTCACCAGTTTGTCTTATTAACATCCAGGTATAATCAGGCACTGGACAAGCAGTTTATTCAGCACCTGACAAGTGAAAGTGGATTTTCTCTGGTTAATCCCATTTCCCCCCACAACAAAGTCTAGGCATTGGATTTTTAGATCCCCTCCACTACGATGGACCATAAGTATGATAATGGCCATTGGATAAAAGAGAAGTGATGCAAGCAAAAATTTCAAGCATGTCAACATTATAAATTTCAAAGTTTAACCGCTCAATCATATCAAGATCGGGGCGAAGAGAAACTTTCATTTCTGAGCTCCCCCAGTTGTCTTCCAAGGTTTACCCTGGGAGATCTTAAAACGAAACAACTACCATGTTAAATAGAAATAGAGAAGAACTCTAGTTCATACACTGTATAAATATAATGTAGAATACAAAAACCTTAAACAGTATGCAAACCTGGTTTAGATAATACTAATATACAATAAGTTCTTACTTTCTTTCTGAAAGGACACTACGCTCACTTTTGTTACTTCTGCCAGAGCGAGAGGAAGGAGTTGGAAGATCCCATGAAGAATGTTTTGATGGAGTACTGTCATCATCTTCTTCCCAATTACACCTAGATGGAGTATCTACAGAGAATGTTTATAATCAGTAGCATATTTTCAAGAACAATTCTTTTTAGATTTCATTTTCTTTCTTAAAAATGCAAGACCTTAAAATAATCAGTACTAATGTCAATTCACAACACTAAATGATGGAATGTGTTCATAAAGATGCAATTTTTTTCACTCGTAAATTTTTAACTCATTCCATATTGGGTCAGACCATATGACGAAACCAATAGAAACTCATCTCTGTTAGTCGTTTATTATTATGGAAATAGTTTTACAGGACTAGAACTATACACTGTACAGTACTATGAGAAACCGGTTTTAAAAGTATAAAAGAGCCCTTAAAAGAATATATTAATATAATGGAAATGTATGAGCAGGTAACATGGATTGTTTTTCATAGCTACATGTAGAGCTTCTGTTTTACTTTAATGTCTGCAAGATTTGTATTTAGAACAAAAGTGTCATAAAGCTGAAGATACATGATTGTAAGTTCACTCATTAGAGTTAATACATTAAACAGACAAGAGTACTGGAGATACAAAAAAAGGAAAATTCTTATTAATTACATAATTAAAATAGTCTTTAACTGATACTAGGTGTTATTATCACATAATCAGTGCAATCTATTCATAATCTTACATATGATTTAAAATAATAATTCAACAGCTGTATCTGCATATGAAACTAATTATTTAAATTCTAAAAGATTATCTTTAACATCTCAGTAACCAAATAACATAACAAGTAATGTAAAATACTCATCAGAAGATAACAACATTGATAATTGGTCTGTTGATGATTTTAATAGTAATACTTTCAATAACTTAACTCTTTCAGTATGGGCTTGGTCGCTGGGACTGACCTCATAACCAATTTTGTGCTTGTTATAGTTTTCATGCTATACTTTTTAAATTAGTAAGTGTATGTTAACGAAATCTGCCAGATTATCAATAAACATTACAATGCTTTCATACGCAAAATATCAGATATTATTTTTAACTCTTAAGGTTTGTAAATCAATGTTTTTCTCATGCATTTATTTTTTTCTTTTCGCATGTTGCCTATCCAACATGCAAAGTAATTTTAATCTTAAAATGAAAATTACTTTTATGCATCAGCAAATTTTCAAATTTCACATGTGAAATCTTTATAATGTCCAGATAGTTATTACATGTTTCTTAAGTAGCCATGTTTCAGTAGCCATAAAAAAAAATCATAGGATCATCATTTATGTGCAAAGCTACCCTCACCAACAGTACATAATATAAACATACATTTGTATAGCATAATATTTAGTGATTTAATAATGTCTGAGATACATAATAGATAAATATGTTTAATTTGAATAACTAGTTTTACTTTTAATTATAAAATAGTGAATGCTTAAATATTTGTCTCAGACCTACATGACTTATCACATTCTCTATGTTAAGCTGAACAACACTATTACAACTACACCTATCCTTTAAATAGCAGTAAGACTATGTGTGTGTCTCAAATTACATTATTATGCATATTTAAAGCCATAACTAAGATTTCATGTTTATATATGTACATAAAAACATTTTAATTTTCTTTCATAAATATATTTTTATTTCAAGTTTATGTTTCATTGCAGCCGTACTTTTGTTTATTGCGCCGAATAAACCATGGGGTCAGCAGCGTGAACTTTGTACGTTTACCATAAACTATCTCACCCTGTTGGGGGGCATTCTCGTTCAGCCCAGCGTGGCCGCATTTGAACATTACTGTAGATATGACAGTAAGAAAGCTTTTCGGTACTTGAATATCAGTTCTTTGAACTTTCAAACAAGTTTATTTCAACATATGTTCGTGTATGTTGTTTCACTATAGAGAAAAAACTAATTGCCACTACTAGCGAATGTAACAGTACAGGTGGTTTCAATAAACACCGCCAGAGTCTGACCCCTTGTTACTTGATACATCCTGTTAGAAGAGATTACCAAACGATACAGACACCATAAATTACAAAGAAAGTTACTTTACAGCACTTAAAAGATTAGTCCTGGTCACAAGGAAAAATATAAAGTTCTTATGTGGTAATGGTAGTATTACAGACAAATCACACAAGTTTATCATTCTAAATACTGAATCATATTATTATTATTATTATGAACTAAATATAAAATTATGCTAATTTATTGAACTTAAAACTACCAATTTAAATTCAAAAGAATATAAAAAATCACAAACTCTTTCAGTTCAAAGTCCTAAGTCTATTCATGTAAAGACTTTGCACTCGCCACTCGATAGCTCTTAACCCTAACAATCATGGATCAACTTCTTT